GACCCCAAACCCCTTTTCCCAAATTCTCATCGGGTTTTTGGCGTTTATTTTCCATTTCCATTCTGCAGTGACCCCAAACCCCTTTTCCCAAATTCTGACCGGGTTTTTGGGGTGAATTCCCCATTTCCAGATGGCGTTCTGCTACTGCAGTGACCCCAAACCCCTTTCCCCCAATTCTGATCAGATTTTTGGGGTTTTTGGGGTGAATTTTCCGTTTCCAGATGGCGTTCCGGTACCGCAGTGACCCCAAACCCCTTTTCCCCCAATTCTGCCGGGGTTTTTGGGGTGAATTTTCCGTTTCCATTCGGCGTTCTGCTACTGCAGTGACCCCAAACCCCTTTTTCCAAATTCTGACCAGGTTTTTGGGGTTTTTGGGGTTTATTTTCCGTTTCCAGATGGCGTTCCGGTACCTGTCGTGGATCCTGTTCCCGCTGCTGGGCTGCTACGCCGTGTACAGCCTGCTCTACCTGGAGCACAAGGGCTGGTACTCCTGGGTGCTCAGCATGCTCTACGGCTTCCTGCTCACCTTCGGTCAGTGCTCCCTCCAAGGGCCTGGAATATTCCCAAATGTTCCCAAAATATCCCTGAAATATCCCTGAAATAGCCCTGAAATATTCCTGAAATAGCCCTGAAATAGCCCTGAAATATTCCTGAAATAGCCCTGAAATAGCCCTGAAATATTCCTGAAATATCCCTGAAATAGCCCTGAAATATTCCCAAAATAGCCCTGAAATGTTCCCAAAATATCCCTGGAATATCCCTGGAATAGCCCTGAAATATTTCCAAAATATTCCTGAAATATCCCTGGAATAGCCCTGAAATATTCCCAAAATATCCCTGAAATGTTCCCCAAAATATCCCAAAATATCCCTGGAAATGTCCCCGGAATATCCCAAAGTATTCCTGAAATATCCCCGGAATAGAAATCCCCAAAAATGTTCCTAAATCCCCAAAAACTTCCCCAAATCCCAGTTTTTTTCCAGGATTCATCACCACAATGAGCTCCTGTCCGTGGTTCCTCAACACCTTCACATCCAAACCTCCAAAATCCATCCCAAACCTCCCAAAATCCCTCCCAAACCCCCCAAAAATGTTCCTAAATTCCCAAAAATGTTCCTAAATCCCAAAAAACCTTCCCAAATCCCCCAAAAACTGCCCCAAATCCCAGTTTTTTTCCAGGATTCATCACCACAGTGAGCTCCTGTCCGTGGTTCCTCAACACCTTCACCTCCAAACCTCCCAAAATCCATCCCAAACCTCCCAAATCGATCCTAAACCCCCAAAATCCATCCTAAACCCCCAAAATCCATCCCAAATCCCCGAAAAATGTTCCTAAATCCCCAAAAAGTGTTCCTAAATCCCCCAAATCCCAGGTTTTTTCCAGGATTCATCACCACAGTGAGCACCTGTCCGTGGTTCCTCAACACCTTCACCTCCAAACCTCCCAAAATCCATCCCAAACCCCCCAAAAATGTTCCTAAATTCCCAAAAATGTTCCTAAATCCCAAAAAACCTTCCCAAATCCCCCAAAAACTGCCCCAAATCCCAGTTTTTTTCCAGGATTCATCACCACAGTGAGCTCCTGTCCGTGGTTCCTCAACACCTTCACCTCCAAACCTCCCAAAATCCATCCCAAACCCCCCAAAAATGTTCCTAAATCCCCCCAAAAATGTTCCTAAACCCCCTTTCCCCCAGGGTTCATCACGATGACACCGCAGCTCTTCATCAACTACAAGCTGCAGTCGGTGGCCCCTCAACACCTCCAAACCTCCCAAAATCCATCCCAAACCTCCCGAAATCCATCCCAAACCCCCAAAATCCATCCTAAACCCCCTAAATCCATCCCAAATCCCTGAAAAGTGTTCCTAAATCCCCCAAAAGAGTTCCTAAATCCCCCAAATCCCCGGTTTTTTCCAGGATTCATCACCACAGTGAGCACCTGTCCGTGGTTCCTCAACACCTTCCCCTCCAAACCTCCCAAAATCCATCCCAAACCTCCCGAAATCCATCCCAAACCCCCAAAATCCCTCCTAAACCCCCCAAAAATGTTCCTAAACCCCCTTTCCCCCAGGGTTCATCACGATGACGCCGCAGCTCTTCATCAACTACAAGCTGCAGTCGGTGGCGCACCTGCCCTGGCGCATGCTCACCTACAAGGCGCTCAACACCTTCATCGACGACCTGTTCGCCTTCGTCATCAAGATGCCCATGATGTACAGGATAGGCTGCCTGAGGGACGGTAGGTGGGAATTTGGGGGGAAGAAGGGATTCCAGAGGAGATGCCCATGA